TTCGTAGTTCTCCTCGCCTTTCAGAAGGTCTTCTGTCGTGTACGCAGGTTGTTTGGGCTAATGCCGGCTCGACCGTTGTAACTTGTACGGTACGGATGGGATGGATACCTACCTACCACTTGGCATCCTAATTATCCTGTCGCTAGGTCTTCGTACCGACACAGCCATAACAAGACCCCTCGCTCGCTGTACCAGTGTTTCCTTCAAACACACGAGACGCTCTGGTCTGAACTTTGCAGAATGTCGTTTCTCTTGGAACTTGGAATCACCGAATTTGCCGTAAGAGAGCCCCTGGCCTAAACAGCACTGGCGGCCAGCTCCTGGAAGCCTCATCAAACGCGGTCGGGGCAGGATCCGACGCTGTGTCTGCAGATGCCGGCAGCTCATTGTTTTGCACATCACGGGCTCGGCGGTTGATCATTCAGAGGGATCATCGGCAACCATGGCTCGTTTTGTTGAATCAGCCAGCCGGCACCCGGCAGGCCTCAAGGGCAGGAGGCGGCGAAGCAAACGCAGCAGGGCAACGTGCGTGAACGTGCGAGACACAGCTGATGCTGATGCTAAGCAGGAGGATGGAATGGGCAGAGCAGCGCGTTGTAGCGGCCGCAAGGCATGTCAGACGCGGCCAGGAACAGCCGTCTACAGCCCACGAGCAGCGGATGAACACTACGTTTGCGGGCGACGACGACAACGACGACTTTGCGGCGTGCCGTCACACAGAGTGAGAAATTAGCGGCAAGGTCTTGGTGCAGCGGCCGCTATGGCCGCACAAGATCAAAAGTCGTGGAAAAAGGGATAAATTCGGATGTTCTTTCTCTTTGGTTGATCTCTCTTTTTTGTTTCGGAAGAATTCCTAGGGAAAGGGATGCTGGTAGGTAACCGGGTCTCAGTTGAAAGTCTTGGCCAAACGCCCGCGAGAGCTTAACGTTTTCTCGCAATAGGAATGAATACCTAGGCTTTGGGCGGTGCCTGACGGGCGTATCCGTAGCCGTGCTGCGTACCGTGAGAGTGCCGTGTCGTGTGTTGCTCGTTGCCCGTTGTTCGAGACGAAGTAGGGCATAGTAGCCGTCATCTCATGTCTCACTGAAACAGACGGGATTTGAGCTGATGATTTCCTGCGGCAGGGCGGGAACTCAAAGTCTGTCCCTCATGCGACGCTGGGGTCGCGAATAGACGGAAGCTGGAAGATTGACTTTTGAGCTGGTTAGAGTTGTTAGCCATTTCATCATGTCATGATTATGAATAGTGTTAGTTATTAAGAAAGATCGTGGAGAAATGACAAGTCTTGGCCTTGTTTTCGCATGTCGGGATATTTGGTGGAATTCGGACAAGTTTGAGCAACTGTCCGTGGTGCGGCGGGCTGCAAGGTGAAGGTGTAATTGCAGCCAACGTACCTGCCATGTCACGGTGTGTGGTGCCTGCCTCAACATCGACAAAATTCGCAACCAAGAGCTATTCCTTCCCACCTGCCTGGTGGTGGTGATATCAAACACCTAACGCCAGATTGGGAAAGCGAACAAGGATGGCAGGCAGTCCCGCCGCTACCATCCTGATGGGAGACCGACAGGCCAGGAGCTGCCCGAGAAAGGCAGCAGATGGCAAGGGCCCGACAGATCAGACTCCTCATCAGAGGCAAGGGCACCGGCCGAAGAGGCCGAGTAACCACATTTTGTCATGATAAGCTATTCGCCCATGATTGGTCGATAAAGCCCTGGTCAGAACAACGGCAGCCTCCCCCGGCCAGGGTCAACTTGCCAAGCACTGCTACTGTGCACTTCTGTGCTACGAATGGAAGTACATAGCGATGCCAGGTGGGGGCGAGGTCTGCATTTCGAACCTTCTTTGCTTTTTCTGAACCCCTGCCGTCAATCTCAATCCCATCATCAACTATGGAGTACGTACATCCCTCCTTGTCCACGCAACTTCAACACCTCACCTCCTATCACCGACGCCAGCCTATGAGATGCCTCTACAAGATACGGTCTTCATCATGTCCCCGTCACCAATTCTGGAGTCCTAAAATGTCCAGCCGTCCGTCCTTTTCCAATGAATGACACAGCACTGACTGTCCTTGCCAATTGGCCTCTCTTTGTTATCGAAGCTATATCGAACCAACAGCAAACTGACTTCATATCATTCCCATCATCCTTGCTTGGCAGACTGGTCAATTGCAAAGTTGCACACGCAGAACAGCCACGAAGACGGATCCTCCTTCTGATACTACACCAGGTGTAACTTTTCTCGATCCAGAAATCCTCCGAGGCGCCCACCCACCCTGTGTCGGAACTTGGTACCTACTTCCATCTCTCAATATCGCCAGTGCTTCATCTCGGCCTGCAGGGGCTGTCAGGTCGCCTTACAACCTGTTCCACATAAGCTGGCGTACCGAGTACATGCCATCGGCTGCACCAAGCCTCCCGGCCGTTGGTTTGTCAACTTCCGTTGACCGAAACTATGTACGTGGACTACAGTCTGTTCGCCCACCTTCTTCGCCTTCCAGAACCGGAATCTCGATCGGCGCTGCATCCTCTTTGCGGCAAGCACTTGGCAATACCACCAACTAGTGGTGCTTTTTATCTAGGAGATTCGTTGTTAGTTGGGCTGCTAAGGCATGGCAATGGAGTTCGAGAAGCATCAGCTCAGAGACCGTGCTCAAATTGAGCTGCCTTATCCCCCACGGTGGCCCTCGTCTATCTTCTCGCCATGAGAGGGAGCTCACACAGCCCACCACCAGGGCACCAGGGTTTGGCCACCACTTCCAGCCCAGATCAAATTGTTCAATTCTTCTCGTCATACAGTTAATGACTAGGATATCTATCTCCCCGGATTAAAGGGGTTCCAATACCACCCCCAAGAACCACCTCCGGCCACCTCGTCACGTCATTCGACCAAAGCTCCTGATCCGCACCAGGAAACCATTATGAGCTCCGCCTACCAAGTGCTTGGCCTAGACCCTCACACCCTCTCTGGCATATGTCTCCTGCAGGTGTGTATATCCGTACCTTGACAAGACTAGTGCTTGATTATCTTGTCAGCAATGATATTACCAACGGGGCGTTGCGCCCCCATCTGCAGACTACAAATGTCTTTGGTCGGAGACGACCGCTGAGCATGAGCATGATAACTGTTTACAACACACAGACTGTAATGACAGCTCGGGTTTCTTCACCGACAATGAGCTAGAGGGCACACAGACATTCCACAATCTCCAAAGCAAATACACACTGCCATGCCGTCTTGGTAATTTTGAAAGGGGGGGGGGGTTCAATGGCATCGACAGTAATTGGATTACGAAGTGTTGACTGGCCAGGAGGTGAAATGAAATCACACGCGTTGCAGATGCGGAAGCTAAGCTCTGTAACACTCGAATCTTGCTCCAAGAGGAAGCTCCTTTTCGCCGTACCCTGCGCTCGCAACTTGCTAGCCAGTAGCCACAGCGGTGGTCGCTGCTCGCTCCACAACTTGTGCTGCTATCCTCGGTCTTCACGGCCTCACTACAAATCACCATGCATGTCCTGATCTTGAGGCAACAGCACATCCTGTCCCGGAGGGGGCCAGCCAGTTATCTCCACAATGAGCCGCCCTACCGCGAGCACCGCCCTTGGTATCGGTCCCGCCCCCAGGCGTAGTGTATCTCCTGGATTCATGGGTGGAACATGCAGCTCGGTTTCCAGTTTATCGAAGCTAACGGAACACGGATATTGTACAATTCTCAGGGTTACGTCTCCCCCGGTCCTGGCGTCAATCTTATTCGCAACCAACTTCGGATCTGGAACTCTTCACCGTGGGTGAAGGCTGAAGCATGAGGAAGCAATCTCGCCTATCCGTCTAGCTATTCGGGTTTCTTCATGGAGTTACGAGGGCTTGCTTGCCCGAATATTGTTGAGAGTAAAAGTCCGAGGCTCCGTCGGCGGTTTGCCCAGCCTGACGAGTTGATAACTCATCAAAGCCCAAAGGCTTCTCTCAACCATGGACGACGCGGACATCGTGCGCACCTCGAGGGAACTGACGAGAATTAGGATATCGGGCCTGGAGTGACTGAGCAAAACAGGGCAGACATTGAAACGTCCCTAACCGCACATCTATCGCCAAGAGGGAACCCATCGGATCTCCTCAAGGGCAGTGCCGAACGACTCAGTCAGGGATAGTTGGGGAATTGAAAATTTGAACAGACGATGACTGTTTCATGGGGTTGTGCTCGAAGCCGACCTTCAACTTCCTCGTTTCCTTCTCCAAGGTACTTCTGGCAGTTCATGCTGAAGGCCAACGCATTTCTCCTGTGTCTGACGATTGAAGCAAATCTCTCCATCCCTACCTCTCCCTCTGAACTCAAATCCGGCTGCAGCGGATAGAGCGGCTTAAGCAAGTTGCGTGGGCGCCTTGGTTCGCCCATGATATCGCGCCTCCCTGACGGTTAGGGTGGGTAGGTGACGCCTTGCCTGTCTCCTTTCTGCGCTTGTGCGGACTCGTGCTCTTGCTGTGTGCTTTGCACCGCTATCGTGTTGTTGTTTATCTCTTGAGAAGTACGAGATGTACTCTTACGACCTGCAAGCACGGGGCGCCTTTGTAGAAAAGGAAGAGAAATAGAGACCCAACGATAAACTTGTCTACGATTAGGTAGATGGTAGGTCGTCCGTGTCTGACGTGGAATTATGGCAGTGATCAATCCTGCTGCAGTCTACCTTGCTCTGTAGATGTTCATTCTACCTTGTTTGCTGCCTACAAAGGCATGGAACAATCTCAATCTCTCATAGTATTATACAAGCTTTCTGCTCTAGGCTGCGGAGAGTATCCATCGCAGACACGCTGCAAAGGAACAAGCAGTAAAAGGTCATAGTAGTAGTTGGGGATAATCTGGGTAGCTTAAACTAATCTCGCACGTCTTGGGTAGACGACTGCTATCTATCACACCTTTTTCATTTCTCAAAATACATCCATTTCTGTGACCAAAAACCATCCACATCCTATTTGTCTCTTGGGCACTCCAAGTCCACTCACAACTAACCGATGAGAGACCCCCTAGGTAAAAGCCCCCAGTGACCGCCGCAGGAACACTTCCTTTGCTGCGCCAACACAAAGGTGAAGCCCGGCCGCGAGCCAAAGACGTCCTCCATGACGGCCGAGCACCGCACGCAGCGCCTCCACTGCACCGTCTTGGCTTCCTCGGCTTCCTTACCGCCGCTGGCGCTGTTGCTGTTGCTGCTACCAGCGGCACCACTGCCGCCGCTGCCTCCAGCACGAGAACTGGGAGGCGGGCCGACCAGCTCAACGCGTTTGAACACGTCAATGAACCGGCTCTTGGCCTTGCGCGCCGCCAGCGTCCGGCGATCGTCTTCCACCTCGAGGAGGTCGTAGTCTGCAAAGAAGAGCTTGGACGGGTCGGCCAGGCCGCGGTAGGCCCGGAGGTCCGTGTTGAAGAACTTGAGCAGCACGCCGAGGAAGGCGGGCGGCGGCGACGACGCGAGGAGCATGTTGAGCTCGCAGTGCATCTGGGCGGTCTTGATCTGCGCGTCGACGGCCTTTTGCGCGGCTGCGCCGGCGCCGGGCGGGTTCTTGCTCGCGAGGGAGGCGAGGGAGGTCTGGTACGCGGTGCGAATGTCGTTGTTGAGGACGGTCAGGAGGCGGTCGAACTCCTGCACTTTAATCAGGCTGCTCGAGGTGACGCGCTGCATCTTCTGGTAGGCCTTATAGAGGACGACGTGAAGGCCCTTTGCCTGGGAGGACGGGTCCGTGGCATTCTGCATCGCGGCGCGGCGCTCGTAGAACTCGATGGCGCGGTTGGAGAGGATCTCGAGGTGGAGGATGCGGCGGCAGACGGCGGAGAGGAAGCCGCGGGTGGAGGAGCACAGGAGGAGGTGGAGGGAGACGTCAGAGCGGGACTGCAGGTAGGCGCTCATCTCGGAGAAGCGCTGCGGGGTGAGGAGGGCGAGGAACTGCGGGTCGTCGAGGAGGGCGAAGAGCGAGTCGGTGAGCCAGGCGAGTAGGTCGAGGGACCACTTCGCGCAGCCCGCGAGGGCGTCGACGACCTCGTGCTCGTCGAGCGGGCTGAGCTTCTCACGGATGTTGACGGGAGTATTGCTCGCGATCGTGATGAGGATGACGACGTTGCGTGCGTTGAGGGCCAGCATGGCGAACTTGCCGCCAAAGGTCCGGGGCTGGAATATACCCTTGTATCCGAGGTGGTTGAGGATGCTCAGGCACATTTGTAGCGAACTGTTCCGTACAAGACTGTCGTGGTGGGTGTCTTCTGAGTAGTCTACCGGGACCTTGAGCATCCGTACGATCTCATTGATCCAGTCAAACGTGAAGCCTGAAAGTGTTAGTGAGGGATTCGGAACGGCGACGGGAAACAACGCACGCTTCTTATCCGCAAAGGGTCGAGCGACGGCCAGTATGTCGTCGTAGTTGATGTTATTGAACGTCGCCGTCGACGCCGCCACAGTCAGAGCTGCCAAGGTGGCCGCATACGGTGCTACATCTATGTTAGTCAAGGGCAAGAGGACACATAGGGGTTGTTTTGCAAAATACCATCTTGGTTAGAGTTTCCTATGTCTCCCAGAGGATGATGAAGTCTACTCCACTTGACCTTGCCGTCGTCTTGAACCTTGACTACAGAACAATTGGTCGGAGAGAAGGCCATTTGTAAGCCTAGAGTATCTTGTTAGCTCCATCAAGCAGTTTAGTTGCATTACTTGGACTCACATGGTGAATCATCCTGCAAGGTGAACCCCACTTGACCCAATGTCATGACTCTGTCGAGATTCATCTCATTGTAGACTTCCTGTAGAGTATACCTATCGCGGTATTCCACCGAGCCATCACTGAAGGCCAAGCAGACGACGTTGCCGTACTGGATGGTATGAAGACCAATCACGGCCTTATTGATGACTACGGGGTCGCACTTCTTGAGTCGACAAGTAGGCTTTGATGATATTAGACCAGAACTTGACTTCTCAAGGTCGAGTGACTTACAGCTGGAGCCGTTCCTGTACTATTCCTGCGACTTCCAAGCTGCTCAAAGGCAGGATGAAGACTTTGAGGCTGATCGCTAGGAACCTCCCACTTGTCGATGATACTTTGCGTTTCCTGATATGGGGTATTGGGTGTTGGCACGTAAGTACGAACTGCGAGGATGACGAGAGGAGCTCCCTGGCCATTGGGGTCCATGACCGACGGTAAAATCTCCAAGTGTGTCAGTTGCGTCGCGGCTGAGTCTACCGGTGTCGTGGATGGACCGCTGGGTAGCCAGGTAGAGATGGCGACGTGCTTCTCGTGCAAGGTAGGGTTAAGAGCTTGGCTGCCTGGCGGTGGCTTGGTATCGGATTGAGATTGTGGCAGTCCCCAATGAATGCCAACTTTCACTACTCGTATTTGCTTGTTGGTGGTGGCCAGGGCAATCCACAGGTAGCCTACTCTCTGTCAGTCACATGTGAACATATGTGCGGGTTTCACTACTTGCCCTTGTCACTGTGAAGTGCTGCATGTGTGATCAAGTCGTCGGATGAGTTGACACTCTCGAGCTCAAGTGAGGTTTCTTCGATCTTATTGTTGTTCTGAGCCCAAAACATCTTCAGATGCCCGTTTGTCGTCACACACAACAGAGCACTCTTGGATGGATTCGGGTGCCACGGGCCCCCGGCACGTACGAAGGAGCTTTCGTACCTATATTGGTTGCCATCTTTCACAGCCGGTCCGTGGCTCACCCAGTACTGACCGATCAGCTAGGTAGAAGGGTCTCGGGAGGGCTTGATGCTCACCTGTTTGCTTTGAGGAGCAAGTGGTAGCCAGTAGCTTCCGACAATGGCATGGAGGTCGTCGGAAGGGTCATGATCCCATTTCCGTGTTGCGAAGGGCCGGTTCAGAGTGATGGAATAGGTCAGAATGGCAACTCGGCCAGTCGCGTCGATGACGGCTAGTTCAGGGCTTGCTGTTGAGGCCCAGGTGAGGTGTATTATGGGGCTTGAAGGATTGATGCTGATGAGATCAACTTTTGTAGGCTCACTGAGACCCCAGTCGCCATTGTCAGGATGAGAACGCAGGAACCTGGCTTCCAGTGTCTTTCCGTCTGGTGAAACTGAAGCTATTGCGCCGGATCTGGACCACGCGACTCCCCTACAAGAATTGTGAGATCTGGGATACATTGTGCATGGTTGTGGGATGTTTCTCACTGGCAACAGCCGCGGGTGCGCAGCTCATCGATCCTTTGGCGCAGTTGTTTCGTTGGAGGGCGGGCCGTATGAAGAGACAGGCCGCCAACGCCGTCGCCAAAGAGGTCGTCGACGTCGAGCTGGTCGACCTGCATGGCCCCATTCATGCCGTTTTCGAGCATGAGCGGCATCTTTTCTTCGGTCATGTGTGCGTGCGTGTTGGTGCCGAAATATCGGGCTGGCGCGCAAACAACACTCAGGGTGTCAGCCACGCAGACAGGACGCGGCTGGAGTGGTGTCTTAAGGTGAGAGATCAAGAGGCCGGCAGAAGCTCATTTTAAGAGCCAGAAGAAGCAAAAGTTGCCGTTACACACAGTAGGATACGTGACCCCCTCAATGAGATTAACAAAACTACGAATTGCTGTTGTACTGCCTTGATGACTTTGGGGCTTGTCAAATGGTACTCCCAGATGTGGCTGAATGGAGATTGGAGCAAAATGCATGTATCCGTCCTCCGTAAGTCGATAGTTATCGTTAGGTGGATCGCGGCTCTTGAGAGGCGGACTGGGGCCAATGGAGTGCAGAGACAAAGTCCGCCAGGCCACACCTTGCCTCAGCCTCAAGTTCACCTCACGCACGCACACGCGAGAAGAGGTAAGGAGGAGTGGGGAAACTTCACATGAAGCTAGTCCAAGTTAGGCCTATCCAGATATCCATCAATAAGGCAGGAACCTTGGGAGTAGGAAACGGTGCTTGTGGCTAATGGATGTGGCTGGTGCTTCGACCCCAACTCCAGCATCTTCGAACTGCAGGTCGCACCCCATTATCAAACGCTGTGGGGAAGTTGGAACCCGTGACGTCCATCCAATGATCCCTGCAGGGTGAGAAGGGCCGGGCCCCTCTTCGATCGTGACAGGGGTGGCTGCCAAAGGACGGACAGACGTGGACAGGCGTACAGGGCAGAGACGAGGTCAGTGTTCCCGGGCAACGGGCGTCCACCCCGTCCGGCTCGCCCGCCCTGTGGGTGCAGCTCTTGTCGCTTTTTTGGCCCCCGCGACTCGGCCGCGTTTCAGCCGACCGCCTTGCACGTCGGTGGCCGCGACTGGATGGAAACACAACAGCATTGTCCATTCGAGTACTTCGTACGTCAGGCACATATGAAGTAAGTAATTTGCATTTAAGGCGCCAATCGGCGATGGATGTTTGCTTCCATCTAAACTCACCGGGCCTGTCATCAAGATTGGATTTGTGTTCGTTTGCCTGGGTCTCGGACATCTGCAAAATGACGTCGGTTTCGCCAACTCTCTTCGCGAGGCGAAATGAGAGTTATTACCGACCACTTACCCATTATTCGTGGAGGTGAAGATTCTCGCTGTAGCAAAAGACGCTGCTGCGGAGTATTTCCATCACTGTCGGGCGCGGATACATTCCGGCCACGCGTAGCCCATGAGTCGAATGAGGTATCTTGGGGTGCATCTGTGTAGGTGAGGCAGGCACGACGAGCAAGGTACCCTACCTACTTAGGTTACTGCAACTCACCGCTGCACCGACAGGCAACTCGTGCCCGTATACCACGGACAACCGCCGTAAGCTTGATACAATCGAATTTTGGTGATGAACGATAAAACAATGAGAGCACGCAGCGTGCTGGTATTTGACTTGAACGAGGCTTTGTGACGCTTCAGACTGAATTTAGTAGTGACTAGGTGGACATTGCCTTGCCCGAAGATGCATCTCCAAAAGAAGCCCTTTCTGTGGGATAAGGCAACAAAGTAAAATACAACAGCCGAGTCATTATTTCTCAAGAAGGAAGAACAAACAGCGGGGTTGGCCGGCGTCATCCTCGTCATGCCCCAAAGACAAGAGAAAGAAACGGGCGAGCAGACTGGCAGGGGAGCAAAGCCCTTCCTTTGGAACTGTCTCCATCTATTACCATTCCCTCGTCTTCGCCGGATTATACTGCGGATAGTGATGCCAGTGTCCAGGCAAAATTCCAGAAGCGCCCTTGGGTGCGATGGATCAAGCAGGCATGACGAACATGCGATCAAAAGGAGTACAAATGAAAAAAAAAAAATGTATCAATCGTGCTTCTTGTCAGATTTTGACCACCCGCATGATAAAGTGAGCCGAAGAAGAGGGGAACGAACGACAACAACGAGAGGGGGTGGAGGAGGCCGGAGGGAGGCCGGAGTGCATGGGTCGTGTCCATGTACCTCGAGGGCACATGAATGCGGAAAAGTACATCATGTGGAGTAAAGTGTTAGGAGCAACAACTCTTCGGGATCAGGAGCGAGCAGGAGCAGACGGGAGCGCAATGCTCACCCAACTCCCGTCGACTTTTTGACCGGACCCAATGGGAAATTAAGCGACTCTTTGGAGACCGGAACCAAAACAGAAAGAAGCGCGTGCGCACCGAACGCAGACTTCAACAACAGCAAAGCACTAGCCACCGCACCGTTCCTTACCCTTTCTGCCTCCCGTACGGTGTGTTCCCCGTGTGCCCATCCGTCTCCCTCTTCTTCGTGCCCTTTCCCTACCGTCTTTCTTCCCCTGTCTCGTCTCTCTCTCTCACCTTAAATTACCTTGCCTTGCCTTAGGTCATACCATAATAAAGTGCCAACCCACCCGTCCGTACCCTTCTGCCGCGCCGGGCCCTGACTGGTTTTGATCTGCTGCCACCGCTGTTCGGTCTTTTCCTGACCTGTGTTGACGGCACTTTGAGGCCCAGCTCTAGGTCCCGCCTCTCGCTTGACGGTGTTCCAAGTCACGTCCGCTCCCCTCTCTCTCCTCCCATCCGTCCCCCCGTGCCCCATCATCCATGTACGTTTGCTTGCAGCCGCTACGGCTATGTACTTGTTAAGGTACCCTCGCCCGTCCGCTCTCCACACTTTGTCTTTCTTCAACGACACTTCTTCTTACTTTCCCGACAACAACGAAAACCCTTTCAACCCACCCACGGAGAAAGAAGCCCACACTCCTGGAAATCGTTGAACAATGGATATGGTATAGAAAACGCTGCCCATGTTCCCGCAAATCTTGTCCCGGATCTTTTCTTCTTTCTCCCCTCCGTCCCCGACCACCACCGACGACACCAACGACGACGACATCAAAATGGACGCAACCCCTTCCTCCTCGGCCATGGACGTTGACGCGCATCAACAGCCCTCGTCTCCCTCAGATTCGACCCTTTCGTCACCTCTTTCCGTACTGTCAAAATCACCCTCAATACCCTCATCGCCAGAAGTCGCCCTCGACGCGTCAAAACGATACCCCTCGCCCACCTCTTCAATGCCTTCAGGCGCCCAGTCACCAATCAAGCTCGAGGCCGCAGATGACTCCGTACCCGTCATCAAGCTCGATAGCGCTGCCGATTCCATCAATGTCAATGCCAGCGATGCTACTGATGGCCAGCCTCCCCGAAAGCGGCGTAAAGTCACGCCTCCTAAAGAGCGCACTACAGAGTACCTCAACCTGGAAGACTGCAAAGAAGACGACGGAAACTTGGCGCGCCTAGTGTCCGCTCTCAAGAAACGCAAGAAGATCGTCGTCATCGCAGGCGCGGGAATCTCTGTTTCGGCCGGCATCCCCGACTTTCGATCCAAGACTGGTCTCTTTGCGACACTGCCAAATGAGCACAAGGTGAAAGGCTCAGGCAAGCACCTGTTCGACGCCTCAGTCTACAAACATGACTCCTCTACCGAAAAATTCCACAAAATGATTTGCGACCTGGCTACAATGGTCAAGGCCGCCAAGCCCACTCACTTCCATCACCTGTTAGCGTCGCTCGCCGCCGAAAACCGTCTCCTACGCCTCTACAGCCAGAACGTCGACTGTATCGACACCAACATGGAACCGTTGAAGACGAACGTTCCCCTGAACGTCAAGGGTCCTTGGCCCAAAACCATTCAGCTGCACGGAAGCGTTGACCACATGGTCTGCTCAAAGTGCAGTGACATCAAGGCTCTGGAAACAGAGCTTTTCGTGGGCCACGAGGCTCCACTATGCAAAACTTGCGAGGACCTTGACATGGTTCGCACGCAGTATGGCCAAAGACGAAGTCACGGTATTGGTCGCCTGCGTCCCAGGATGGTTCTTTACAATGAATTCAATCCGGACGAAGAGGCCATTGGTAAAGTGTCGAGTGTGGACCTGAAGTCGCGTCCCGACGCGGTCATTGTTGTTGGCACCAGCCTCAAAATTCCAGGCGTGCGGAGGCTCGTGAAGGAGCTGTGTCAGGTCACGCGTAGTCGCCGAGACGGATTTACCGCATGGATCAACACGGACTCGGAGCCACAACACAACGACTTCAAAGACTGCTGGGACCTTGTCGTTCGCGGCAAGTGCGATGACGTGGCTCACTGGGCTGCTCTACCCCGTTTCGACGTACCCCATGGCGACCAGTCGGCCTATCTCAGTGAGGGAGAGGAGCAGAGGCGCCAGGACAGACTTAGCAGGGATAACCTCGAGGTGCAGCTCATTTCGCCGACGCCCGATTCACCGACTAAGTCTACTTCGACCACTACGTCGGACTCAAAGAAGCGGAAGCTCGTCGACCCTGTCCAGAGCATCCCAACACCCACAGCCAGCCCGAAGATCAAGGCTGTCGAGGCTGCGAAGAAGAGTACCAAGGCGAAGCAAAGCAAGCTTTCGTTTGGTGGCCAGCAAGCTGCTACTCCCGGAAGCGACGCAACAGCCAAGAAGGTCAAGAAGCCGTCCGCGAAGAAGCCCCGGAAGGACAACAAGAAGGCAACGATGCCCCCCAAGAACAGCGTTGCACAGACCTTCAAGACGCAGAAGAACCGCGAACTCGCCGATATGCCTCAAGAGACCTTGGCTGGCAAATTGGACAGCCAGCACTACCTCAAATATGTTGAAGACAAGCTTCAGTCTCAGCTTCCACCATTGCGACCGGCTCAAAAGCCTATACAAAGTTTCGTCTACAAGCGTGCCGAGAACACCGACGAGGAGGCACAGCAGGAGAATGTTTCATCACCCGCGCGACCGTTCGAGAAGATGTCGAGGCCTTCACTCGCTGAACGGCCAAAGTCTTCACCAAGCACTGGAGACAGCAGCGATGTACGCCCAATGACGCCTATGCATATCCGACGCAAGTCGGCCGACACGATATCCCCTGAGTCGATTCCTCGAGGCATGGAAGCCTTGATGGACTAAGGATAATCGTGGAAGCGTTATCGATTACATGATCACTTGACATCGATTGCATTTTGCTTTTTTATATTCATAGAAGACGTCAACCTGTTGGCACCGAAGAGTTCGGGCTAGACAGGTGACAGTCCACGGAGATTTGTCTTATTCACGAAACGGAGTTGGTATGGAATACGTCTCGCATCGCTTTATCTTGTACATACAGAGTACCTGCCCACTTGTATAAAGCAGCGGCCACAGAGCTCAAAGGCTCTTTGACGCAGGCTGCCATGTGTGGGCTCCACAAGCGAGGGCTTCATTTGGGCGGGCAGACGCTGAGAAAAAAAGTCTGCACTGGACACACTGCGAGATGAACAAGGTAGCGGGATAGAGGCGGCCCCCCGAGTCCGCCATGGGACGAACATGATCGTTAATATACCACTTTTCGCACGAGATACCTTTATTCTGGTATTACCTTCCTACTATAGGCTTCTGTGACCACCTCCGGTTTGCAGCGACGTCGATTCGTGCTGACAGATAGCGTGATGACCGCCGTGCCCGCTAACCAAGCACCCGAGATCGTGCCCTACCGTTCTGTATCAGAGGTAGGCAATTGGTAGGCCCGAGGACCAAGGGGAGACAAGTTCTATGGCGCAAGACCACCGAGACTCCAGGCATCACGCTTTACAAATGTGTTGAAGGAAAATATCAATGCATGCCGTTGTTCTACCACAGTTTTCTTGTTGTTCATTCTGTATAAGTTACAACCAGGTGTGCTACAGCAAGGTAGGGAGGTAAAATAGAACGCATACACAAACACACACACACACACACACACACACACTCGGGCCTACACTCCGGTCCGCTAATTAGGGCCAACACGTTCTGGACCACCAAGATGAACTGCATTCATAAAGGCTTTCTTGCTCATTGCAGTAATACCTGTCTACTACTTTGGTAGAATATTCTAATCAGGGCATGGGAGTTCCATCCGTCCATCCCTATGCGCTAGATATATCGGGCTCAGATCCGTATCTCCTGCTGATGCGACCGAGCGTCCGTAGGTATGACTGCCAGCATGGGTACAAAGCCCCATCTCCAGTCTGCCACGCCGCCGCCGCGACCAACAAGGCTACGCATGCTCGCACCTAAACGAGGCCAACGTCATGTGACCAGCCTACAGCCAGCCAGCCAGCAAGGCTCACTCGCTCGAACGCCTGCCTCCGTGGAAGGCAGCGACCAGAACAGGGCCCGGCTTGTCTGTCCTCGCCTCACTAAAAAATCTCAAAAAAAAAAGCATGAGGTGAGACATGATGTTGTTTTCGCAAAACTCCAAAAACGAGTCCGTCCTGTACCATGCAAGTCCGGGTATGTAGTTTATCTGATCATTCCCTCACCCACAATGAGAATGCCCTGCCCACCTAGTACCGAGAACGCCATGCCGATGCTGATATTAAACACAAATCGTGACTGGATGGATATGCGCAAATGGAAACCCGTCTTCCAATCCGTACTTTTATGAATGCGAGTCCTAAGAAGCCGCTGCAGTGCCATTTGCCGCCGCCGCGGCCGGTTTGTCTCCGTTGTGCTTCTTCACTTCTCTGTCCCGCAGGACTCTATACATGGCGCTCAGCCGATCGCCCGTTACTTCGTTGCTCGTGCTGTCAACTGGCCACAGGTTCGCCAAAAACTCCCTGAGCAAATGTTAGATCTGTATGAGATGTGAAATAGCCGGCGGAGAAAACTTACCAGAAGCGATTCTTCAGCGCATTGTCTCGCTCCTGAACGAATTCGCGATCCAGGAAGTTGCCAATGACAACCAACTCTTCTCCAAATATCTTGGCGCGTTCCTTGCTGGACTTGATCCTCTCCTTCGTCGTGACAAGAATTGCCTCAAAGTTTGCCCGAACCGGTTTGAGCAAGTACCACAACATGGCATCCGCGTCCTTCTCACGTTCTTCCTTGTTATCGCCCATCTTACGGAGTTGATCAAGTCGGTGAAGGGCTTGATTGCGACGCTCGTTGTCTGGTTGATTTGCTCGCGGTGTGTTGCTCGACCTGCGT